TCTGGTAGTGTAACTGGCAATACATTACATGGCAAGCAAGAGTTGTAGGTTTGAGTCCCCATCCAGGCTGATCTTTTCATCCAGAATAGTGTAATAATTAAATTTACCAATATATGGCAACTTGTATCTAAATTATTTATAAATTAATTAGTCTTAAATAGCATGATAAAGGAATCTGACATTTAAAGTAATTATTTATTGGGTTGGCTGTATGCTTTTAAAAGTATTTTAAAAAATTAAATTTATTATTACACATATTCTTAAACTTAAAATTGTTAACTGTTGTAATATTTGAATTTATTTAAAATTGATCATACAATTGTAATGAATTATTATAGTATATAAGTATATTTTTTGTGAATATAAATGATAATGAAATTATTTATTAATTTCATTTTTAGCCGGTCCATTTAATGACAACTGTGGCAACACCAGTCTTTGATAAAAGAAATTATTCAGTAAGTTTAATTATAAAATGTAAATTATTATTATTTGAATGTTTAATATATGTTTAACACTCAGTTTGTTTTAATCTTATTTTGAATGTTATAGTAGTAATGGTATTATAGTTAATTTATATTATTTGATAAAAGTAAAGTTTAATTAAAATTTAATTATTTATCAAAAATATCTTTTTTAATAATAGCAGTAATTATGTCATAATTTAACATAACACCAATTACCAAAGATGTAAAAACAATTTTCAATTGATATATTTATAATAAAAATCTAAATTTTTATAATAGCTCATCTATTAATAGAATAAAGAAAAAATTTTAAATTAAATTAAATATATGATAATAGGGAACTGAATATTGTAATTGATCTATGAATATTATAACATGCAAATGAATTTCATAATTTTTACTGTTAATAATATACTGTAATTAAAATTAAATTTAAAAATAAACTATTAATATATAATTTATAATTAGATCTATGATTCAAAAATAAAAGAAAATAATTATTTATTTTAAGTGTAATTTTAAATGTGTGGATTACTAACTTGATACGTTAAAATATAAAACATTATTTTAATATTTTGTGCTGAAAATATTGCACTTTAACTGATTGAAATAAGGCTTCCACTTCAAGATTGCTTTATATAGTAAAATATTTTCAAAATAATATAGAATAGAACTATAAAATTACATATGTTCAGGATTATTATATAGTAAAACCTTGCTTTGTGGCCAACTCAATTTTGTTGTTCCCTTGCTTATGTGGCCACCTTTTGAACTTCTCTTGTAAATTGCATAAGTCTTAATCAAATAAATCAAATTTGATGTTAGTGGGCATTTTGCTTAAAAGTGCCCAAGATAAGGATGTTCTAAAGTGACATTTATCTCCCATTTACATGGCCAACATAACTGCAAAACTCTTTCTAAATTTAACATATTTTTAAAAGTACTTTAAATGGAATCGAGCTTTGTTGCTACAGTTTTGAAATAGTTTAAGATTCCTCTAACAAATGACTTAAATAAAATAAATCTTCATTTGCACTTGAAAAATTCAATTTATTTTCAGAATTTAGTAAAAAAAAAGAAAATTATATATTTGTTTAATAATTTTATACAAAATCTGATTGTATTTTGTAAAAATATAATTATGTAAATCAGTAATGATCAGTCTACATTGACTGATATGTCACTCACAACATTCATTGAAGAAAAATAATGATGAAACTGATGTAAAAGCTGGTTTAATTATTAACATTTTTTTCTGATACTTGAACACTTCTGCACATTTAATGACTTCGGTTTAAATTTTTTTCTGAATTTTCTTATTAAAATACAGTATTTAAATAAAATTTTTATTACAATTTCATAAACATATTGGCTGTTGGGTAGTGATTCTGATACTCACATCTATCTGGTGTTCAAATCCTATGTATTAATGTTTAGATGCTTTTTTAAGATATAAATGAAACATTGCTCTAGAATTCTTATTCTTAATGTAATACCAATTTCCATGTAATATGGGTTGTTCTCAATATACTTTCTAAGTCCTTTGTAAGCAGCACAATTTTAATGCAACAGTTTCTACAAAACTCTATTTGGAGCTATCAATATATTTTAAAGAAAACTGTAAAAATTTGACTTTTAATTTAAAGATACTAGAAACAATTTGTTTCTTTTATGCAATAAATTTTACAGTTCTGATTCTAAGATGCTTTATTCTAATTTTTTTCAATTATCTCTAATTTTTCAGCTACATTTAAGTTCATATGCTTTTTTTAAATTTCTGTATCAGTTGATGCTATTTTACATTGTAAGGATTAAGAAATTATTTAACAAAGTAAAAATTCAAAAATTTCAGAACCATTGTGTAATTGATACATGATAAGTTGAGACAGACTGAGATGAAACAAAACAAATCAGAGATTGTGTAATATGTATAACCCAATTTTGACCTCAAGAATGGGTTTAAACCAGGGTTTCTTAAACTTTATCCATTCACAATTCCTTTTTTCCTGAGAACATTTTACATAACCTGTCTCAACATTTATTTTATTGCAGGTAATAAAATAAGTGTACAAATAAAACATGAACTGATAATGAACCAAACTAATTTAATTCCAAACAATTCTTTGTTACACTTATAATTTTGCCACTTACAGTATTATCATTTATTTGGACAAAAACAAATTAATATGCAAATTTGTTTTTGTGAGATGGGTGCACTTGTTTATTAATAAGCAGTTAAAACCCACTGTGTTTGGTGTTATTGTTTTTTCATTTGAGTGCTTTCAACGAATGTATTTCCATCATTTTCAGGCGAATAAGATTTTTATATCGAACATGAACGTTCGAGAGAAGAACACATACAAATTTAAATAAAACAATTTTTTGGACAACATTTGATATGAATCCGCTATGATTTTGAAATACATGCGATGTTACGAATGTGATGTAATACGATGCATGCATAGTACTGCTTCCTGTCAGCGATATGACATATGATGTAAATCACCATTTACTCGTTTGTATAGGGCGATCCATATATTGGGAAGTTCCAGAGTAGGTGTGTTGTATGTTTCCAATGTTGTTATATATAGCGACTCCCATATAAAGAGTAGACTTCGGTCATTGCATGTCCTGAGTATAGCAGAGTGGGCCCATAATGGGTTATAATTCGTGCTGCATACTTTTCTTGCAAGTTCAGTGCTGCACCTTCCTTTTGCTATATCATCCTAGTGTTTGGTCAAGCGGGTAGCCAACATTCTTGCTGTAGCCCCAATGCTTGATGGCACCATCAATGCCATTCTGGATTCTGTGTGTTTGGACAATAATCCAACAGAAGATTCAGACTTCCACAGCAATATTAGAAACTCTTCTCACCACTCCATTGACACAGAGGATTCCCGTCCCTTTACTCAGGCTGAGATTGACTGGGCTATCAATAAACTCTCTCTCTATAAAGCTCCTGGTCTGGATGGGCTAATTGCAGGTATCGTGAAGAACATTTGGACTAACTGTCCCAACATCATCTCCCACCTTATGAACATCTGCCTTCATTTCAATATTTTCGCAGATCCTTGGAAGGAAGCTAGAATTGTCCCTATCCCCAAAGTTGGGAATCAGCCCATTTGCACTCCCAATGATTATCGCTGCATTTCTCTTCTTCCTGTTCTTTCCAAAGTCTATGACCATCTCTTGAGCAATAGGCTTAATTGGCATCTTGAGGACAATAACTTTCTTAGCCCCCAACAGTTTGGTTTTAGGCAAGGTCGGGGCACCACCGATGCTATCCTTGCCATGACTGACAAGGTTAAACTTCTTCTTCAGTTTTACCCTTATGTCTTGGGGCTCAGTTTGGATATTAGCAGCGCCTTCAATGCCGCTTGGTGGCCTCTCATTCTCTTGAGGCTGCGGCAGGCTTGCTGTCCTGCTAATATTTTCCATTCTTTCTCAGACTATCTGAATAATAGGCATGTTACTTTTATTTCAGGTAACACTGAAATCAGGAGAAAGACTTTTAGAGGCTGTCCACAAGGTTTTGTTTCTGGCCCTATGTTCTGGAATCTGCTCTTTAATAATTTCCTTTCTGACATCCAGGACTGTGATGGTATTTTTGCATATGCAGATGACACTCTGATCCTTCTGGCAGCCCTTTCTCGCTCTAAATTGGAATGTTAGGAAAAGCCAAAAAAGGCAATACCAAAAAAGGCAACGTTAGGCAAGGCCAAAAAAGTGATGGACAACATTACTGAGTGGGGCAAGAAGTATAAATTAAAGTTTAATGCCAACAAAACCAAGGGTATTGTTTTTACAAACCCCGGTAAGCCTCATTTTTACCGGAGGCCACCTACTATAAAAATGGATGGGGTTTCTGTCAAAATCACTATTACCATCAAGCTAATAGGGGTCATCATCGACCACAAGCTAAACTGGGCTGACCATATTGCCTATATAACCAACAGGACTAACCATCTATTCAATACTGTCTCTAAGGTGGCAAAGTCGAAATGGGGGCTTTCTCCAGCTATTCTTTCTACAATCTATGACAGTGTCTTTCTACCGATGATCTGCTATGCCGCCCCAGTTTGGGCTGGCTGTTTAGGCCGTGTGCACATTGAACGGAAACTCCGTGGTGCACAACGTAGAGCTCTTCTTTGTATCTGCCGTGCCTTTTCTACTTCCTCCACGGCTGCCTTACAGGTCATCTCTGGTAAAATGTCTATTGACCTTGCTATTTCATTGGCTTCCAAAGGTTGGCACCTTCGCAAGGGTCACAGTATCTATCTGGCCAACCAATCATTCACTTCTTATGAGACTATTTGCCACATGTCAGATCTGCTTCCTCCCGTTCTTTGACCCCAGATCAAGAACCAGCCTCTGGACCATGAAGATTTAACCATTTACACTGACGGCTCTAAGTCTGAGGAGAATGTTGATAGTGCATTTGTGGTGTATCAGGATAGTGTGGAATGCTACTATGGGACTGGTCATCTTGCCTCGAACTGCTCGGCATATCAGTCAGAGCTCACTGCCATCTTGATGGCTATTGAGTGGTGCAACAACTACAAAAGCAACAACAGGATCAACATCTTTACAGACTGCAGATCTACAATTGATGCCATCAGTTATCATCTGCCTAAGAACTCCCTTGTCATCAAGATTCAAGTGAGCATTGTCTCCTCTAATAACAACTTTGCCATCTTATGGATTATGGGTCATGCGGAACTGTTTGGCAATGAGAGGGCTGACTTCCTTGCCGGGGAAACTGCCAGTCTCACTTCTAATATGTGTCTTTATTCTCTCACACCTGCCTCCTTCATTAAGCATCTTCTCAGAACAGATGCAATTAACACCTGGCAAGAAAGATGGAACAACTGCCACGAGGGTCGGATAACATGGAAATTTTTTCCTAACGTTCCTACCACTAAACCTACCTTTAATGGCCACGACACCCACCTGTTCACTGAATTTCTGACTGGCCATGGCAGATTCAGCAGTTACCTTCATAGGTTTGGTCACTCTGACAGCGACCAGTGCATTCATTGTGGTGTTCCGGACGGAGTTCAGCACTACATCTTTCACTGTCCTATGCTGGAAGACTCCAGCGAAACAATTCGTCTTCTTCTTCCTACAGACAGCGCCTGGCCCTGCCATGAAAGCTTTCTTCTACAGGATGTAATTTGTTTTCAGCCTTCAAGGACCTTGTGAAGAACTATTATCACCATACTTCAATCAAGTGAATGGTGCTCCAAGGACTTCTCTGCATCTATGTTATTGTACTGTTTGATTTTGTCACTGGGTCTCCCACTTGAACTTCTACAGTTCCCCATACCCTTTCTAATGTTCATATATTCTATTTTTGGATCCATTTCAAACCATGAATCATTCTATATTGCATTACTGGCCCTATTCGGTGTATGCATTACTTGTATATATTTGACTCTGCATTTTTCCTCAATGTACTTAATGTAAATTGTGTAAGGTGGCCGACCCGGTGGAGATAGGGGACTTGAAACCCACTCCACGGCACCTGTGTAAGGTTAGAACTGGTGTAGATTGGGCATAAAATATCCCACTTCTGACGTCAGTGTAAGGTTGCCGTCTCCTAGGTGGGATCTATTAATCCCGCGTCAGGATGAACCTAAGGGAAGGTTGTATGTGGGCTGTGACGGAGGAGGCAAATGATGAAAAGTGTTTTACACACGAAAGCCGTTTATTTGTTAACATTTATGCTTACATCGACTATTGACAGTCCTTCACTAAGTTCTTCTCGTCGGAGATGTAGAAAGGCGAGAAGTTCGGCATCTGTCTGGCCTCGGGTCGGACAAGATGCTGTTGCTGATCAAGGCGGATGATTGAAAATTGGAAGCGGCGGAGTCCAAAGTTCTTGGTGAAACACCACAATATCAGTCATGACATTTCGTGAAGTCGGAGGAGAGTCCCCTCCAACCTTGAATTTTGGATTTTTACAGTTTTTTTCTCCCACTATTCGCACTTCTGATTGGCCCCTCGTCCCCTTCCTCGCTTCCCGATTGGTCTCTCTTTTGTTTTGGGGAAAACCGAGACCTACTTGGGTCACGGGAAAGTTAACATGGAGCTTGGAAACAGCGTCTTCTTGACTTTGTTGAGTACATGTGTGTATTAGCACATGAGAAACTTGCTGCACGTACTGCTAAACTAATGTTGTTTAACTCACTGTTTATAAGATCCTGGGTTGATGGCAGCAAAAACGCTCTTCTCAGTAGGGCGACTATGGCGGCATCCACGTAACGTGCAGGTTGGAATGTATTTGCCAAGATGATGTACAGTAGCATGTTAAACTTATGTTGAACTGAGAAAAGTAATGTTTCCGAGGTTTTTCGTACGTGCAGATCTAAGAAAGCTATAGCCACATTACTTTCTTTTTCCCATGTAAAATTGATGGAGGGATATACATTAGAGACATGCTGCATGGAGGTGCAAAAGGCTTCACTGGTGCCCTCCCAGGCTATGAGGATATCATCCACATAATATAAATAGAGTAGTGGGTAAAGGATGGTAAGAGGGAAATCAAATGTTCTATGCTTGATTTCTCTCATGACGAGCTCTGCTAGGATGACAGATAAAGGGGAACCCATGAGGACTCCTTGTTTTTGTAAATAAATCTTTTGATTGAAACGAAAATACAGTAGAGCGTCGATTTTCTGAAAGTCAATCATCTGAAAGAATTCCAGTCAGCAAATTTAAATTTTTGCCAGTGCTGTGGCGCTTCAATCTTTGGCTATGTCTTGGGCTACTCAAATATTTTACGTTTTTGATACTAAATTAACATCTGAAGTATAATTTTTTATTATTTTTATATTTTTCAATATATTTATTTTGTTTGTACAAAATAAAAAAATAATTTTTAACGATACAATAGTCTTTGTTAGGCTTAACATCGATGAAAATTCAATGCAAAGCGACATGCAACGGAGAAAAATTTTGACATCGGATACGTTAAACTATTTTTTCGTACGTAAATCAGTTATCCGAAATATCAGTTATCCGGACAACCCCAGTCCCAATTGATTCGGAAAATCGATGCTCTACTGTAATTGTGTTCCGTGATGAAAAATAGTGCATCATGTATGTCCAATATCTGCTGGACACTAAAGCCCTTCTTAAGGAGTAGTGAATTGACCAGCATTACAGCTTCAAATGTTGGCACCGAAGGATACAAGGCCATCATATCTAATTTATAGAAGGTGTAGGTGCTTGTTTATTTTTGCATAATGTGTTAAACCTGGGATGAAAATTTGATACAGGACACAGGACATCAACATTTTTTAGACTTGATCAATATTTTGATTTTATCAATCATCAATGATGAAAATGTCATTTTGCACAAATATGTAGTACAAAATGGCAGAAATGTGTTTAGGATTATTTCAGAAATTGTTTTGCAACAAATACAATTATTAACCTATAACCTTAATTTTAAGTAGATGTAATATGCCATTCATCCTTTTTCTCCTTCAATGGTAACATCTACAAGTAGAAAAAGGTGTATCAATAGGAAAACAGTGTCAGGCTTGCTTTGTGAGCTCATCAATAGGAAACTAGAACTTGTACACCCAACCCATACACTAGCATCATTTATTATAAATTTCATGTAGATGATATTTTGATAATTTGGAAATACAAAGCTGACTTTGATCTTTCCTTCAGCTAATGAGTAATAATCTCTATAGTCTAACCCTATAAATGGACCAAGTAACTGCAGACAATGTTAATTTTCTTGACATCAATCTTTTATTCACAGACATACAAACCCAGACTAAGCTAAACTTTCAACTGTTCTGTGTCTTCACTTTTTCCTTTGACTGCCTTCACCTAGCCTTCTGCACCTAGTCTAGACTGCCTGTACTCATTGTTTCAAGATCATAGATTGAAATGTGGAACTAGGCATAAATGTCTGTCTAGCAATACAGAATGACATCTGGAAGCATAACATTCTCTAAATCATCAAGAGTTTTTCACATAACATGCCAAATGTAAGTCTATGTCTTCTTTGGGCAACATAAAGCATACCATAACTGAAAACCAGCTCTAGTAAATAAATACCAATATTATCAAGTCTGTTCTTGATTTTTGTTCATTGTCATGGTGAATGCTAGGATGATGGGAATGATGGAAGTTATTTACTTGTAAAAGAAGAAGGATTGGAGTTAATGGTATCCAAGGAAATGTGTGAATGGGTCTGTGGTGTTTACCCATCAGGATCTTGATGTTAATTGTGTTGTTAAATAACCACATATAACTAATCCCTTTCTATTAACCAACCCTTTTTCAGTGTCAAGGTTCCTGATGAGCATGACTTCAACCTTGATCTTTAATATGTTAACTTATGTGGTGGTATTCCACTCAATATATGTGCACAGAATTCTATTGGGTATCTTATTTGCTCACTCCAGTCATTGAAAACTATGCTGTATGAGCTCAAATACATTTTCTCTTATTTTATTTTCTCAAATACAACAGACATAATGATATCCGTTGTTTCTGCTGTGTCTATAATTTAAAGCTGAACGTATGCTCATTCTTTAGGTCTGTTGGGATGTGATGGACCATATTTGTAATGAGACTGCACATTGATCTTAACATATATGATCTGTGGCTTACTGGAGCTATGATGGAAGTGAATGACAACATACTTTTGTATCTAAGGATGTTATTTAGGTATTTTCAAGTAATCAAATTTTTTCTATGCAGAATGTTCTCATGAGAATGAGCTCATGGACTCATGAAATTCTCATGAGGTAGAATACAACTTTACTTTTTCATTATGGCAATAGTTGCTAAAATGAAAGTTCTTTCTACTAAAGGATTCCCATTTATCCCATTTTTTCTGGGACAGTCTCATTTTTTGATAAAATGTCCTGGTGTCCCAATTTTTTCTCAAATGTCCAACTTTTTACAGGAAATAATGAAACATATATATATATACAGTACAATATAAGGAGTTAACATAGTGTTACAGAATGAATATTAACTATAAATTGATGCACTGACAATTTTGGTGATTTTTGTGTTCAACTTTGGTGATTTTCTTCTGTTACTCTCTAGCAGCCTGATCAGACAGACAGTTCACATATAACAGTTTGAACATCTCATAATAATCGTAGAAAATTCATAGATTGTTATAATTTTTGTTGTTTTACATCTGCATAATGCTGAAACATAAGTGCAGTATAAATGATAATATTAGAAGAGAATTTCTTTTTATTTAAAGTATAGATAAAATGTTCAACATACATTTTGTAACTCTAAATTTCCCATTTCACATGGTAGTTGGTCAGACATAATCAATTATGTGAAAATGAAACAACATAAAAGTGTTGTTCAAAGTAAAGTTTCCAACAGCAATGTAAGTAATTTCTTAAATGTGCAAACTTGAAAAGTTAATGCCTCTAGTTGTGAGATATTGGAAAAGTTGGCAAGACAGATGGGACACTGGTACAATAGGTAGGCTCACCCACCAATTTATTCCTAGTGTGAAACAACATCGCAGTTATAAACACCTGATTCCCTCCTACTCAACTACACAGATGTATACAGGGCATGGAAACTTTCGCAGTTACCTGAAAAGGTTTCTGAATAAAACTGATGGACTCTGCCCATGCCCTCTCAAAGAACAGGAAGACCCACTGCACATTCTCTTTCACTGCCCTATCTACTCAAGCCAACGAAAGGGACTCATAAATGAAATACATAACAGGAATGAGATCTGGCCCTGTGAGCTTAGCGTCTTCACAGAAAACAAACACATCTCCAAAGCCTTAAAGAAATTCATTCAAGACATCAAGATATTGGACTAGCACGGTGTAATCTATGCTTGCATCCCTGTAACTATCATGGTAACAGTAATTGTGTTCCCTGTTATTCAATGTAAATCTTTTCGTCTCTGTATACCAACTCCAAAAATTTTTCAACAAAGTTACCAATTTATATACGTGAAAGTATTACTTGTGTAACTTTCCACTCTGAAATTGTACTCTCAGGATTTTTATATGAATTTTCTGCAATGTAACGACAATGTATTATCTGTCTACAAACTCATCAGCACCCTTTGTCTGTTTATCTACTGTACTAACTGTTTACAACTGTAATTAATGTAATGTAAGTATTTGTCTTAAATGTATGTGATGCGGACGCCCTTGTGTCTCATAGACTAAGGTCTTTTTCCC